AATCAATCAGAATTATTTGAGCAATTATAAAAGTTAATTTCGTGAATTTGTCGTTGTGATGTGCACTTAACGCTTCACTGAGCTTGTCACATTTTGGGGACGGATCTAACCGAAGCCGCGTTAACTAGCAATGGCGACGGTCAGTAGAAAAGGAAGAACATATCAAAAAGGCCAGCCTCTTTGTAGTGATCTTCGCAAACTTATAATTGATGAAATTGTTTTAAACGGAGGTGATCAATTAACTGGTTATTTTCCTGGTTTCTTCAAAAATGTCGCCGATAAGTTCAGGGTTAGCAGCAGCACCGTTAAAAATTTGTGGACTAACTTTATCCGTACAAATAATATAAATCCACTTCCAAAGAAAGGAGGAAATCCGAGTCACTTCTCAGACGGAGATTTACAACTAGTTGAAACTCTGGTGATGGCAAGTCCTACAATAACACAAAAGGAAATCTATTCTGAATTASWACAATTTGGAGATATTTTAGGCGGGACATCAATTCCTGCAATCTCTTCAGCAATGCGAAGTCGCATGCCATCTGGGAAGAATTATTCACATAAAAAAGTTCTGAACACAGCAACAGAAAGATTTACTCAAAACAATATGATATACACTCAGCTATTTATTAACTATCTTCATTCAAAAGATCCATTCAGATTGAAGTTCTTCGATGAAGCCGGMCTCAAAGTTCCGAATGCTCATAAGCGAACTCACGGTTTTGCTCCTGTTGGGGAAAGATGTGTCGAAATTATTCGTTACCATGAATCGCCAAACATCACTCTTAACCTCCTAGCTGGCATCGAGGGAATAAAGTATGCGAATATTGTCGATGGGCCAGCAGATACGGTCGATTTCTTGCAATTTTGGGGGGAAACATCACGGGCTGGAGATGTTACAACCGGTAGAYCCGTACTCGAAGTTGGAGACATTATCGTTATGGATAACTGTCCTACTCACCACTACTTAGGAGGTGAAATTTTAAATGATTTTCTTGATGACATTGGGATTGAATTAGTGTTTACACCTACATATTCCCCGGACTTCAATCCCKTCGAATTTGTTTTTTCGAAGATGAGAAATGTAATGCATTACCAACTTAGCGAAAGAGTAAAGGAAAACTTAAAATTAGCTACGTATGAATCGCTTCAATCGGTCACTGCTAGTGATATGGAAGGTTACTATCGCGCTACATCTTATATTTGAACATAGASAAAACTTGTRTTAGTTTGACCAGTGTACAATAAAAGTGCAAGTTGTACTGAATATTATGAGCCRTTGTAAATTRATATGAATACAATACAAACATYGTGTAACATAACATTGTTTTGATGAAAATATGTTAAAGRTTTGATCTGCAAACATTTCGCTGCAGTTTAAGTATAAATRTAAACTGTTTCTTAWTTCACAATAGATAATGGCGGGAAATACGACAAATGCAAATGACATCTATARTCAGATAATGTCAACATATTAAAATTAACTCAACTGTTTATAAAGAAATACAACATGATTCAAAGCTATGCCAYRCTTATATACTGACGYTATAAGTTCCAATGCTACTGCAWTTGAGCCTGAGCAGCTTCAGCTAGCATGTCGAGGTTTGTATTGGTAGTCGTGTGGCTTCTTTGCAGTCTAGGAGAAATTTCTGTAGTGCCATCAGATCTGTAGTCGTTTTCCGTAGTCGTGCGGCTTGTCGAAGTCAATGTGTGTAGTCTACTAGGAGAAGTTCCTGTAGTGCTATCAGATCTGTAGTCGTATTCAGTGCTACTATTGAAGTGGGSTTCTTGAAAGTCTCTTAGCTGAAGAGATTTAGCCAAATAAAAATCGCCTTCCTCCTGGGCCGACCTAAAACTCGGCGGCATAATAGTCGGCCACGTTGGGTCTGCGACGGATCTCACGGATTGTAAGTGGGAAGTATTAGTAGTTGGGAATTGAATTCCATGCTCTTGCAATAAGGGCTTGTATGGGTTTGAGCTGGGTACCTTATTTTTTGATCGACTGTCGGTAACGACATCTTTCAAAAGTCCTGGAATCTCTGACCGACTTGGCATTCTACCGTTCAACTTTTTCTCTAATATCGCGGTGTGTTTACTAATTGTTAGCCAATTCTTGCACCCATTGTTGATATANTTCCCTTAGATGGCATTTACCACATAGTTGAAGTCTTCCCGCGCTGTTTTTATCCTTTGCGGCGTTAAGAAATTGATCGATTTCATTCAACTCGCCTTGCTTCGACTCTATTCTTAGTCTAGTTGTCTTAATGTCACATTCGAGTTTTTCGAAAAGTCTCTCAAGAGGTGTCTTGCATGTGGCAGAAGTCGTGGGAACTTGGACAGAAATTTCGTCGTTAGTATTCCAGTTATTAGAAATTTGCGAGGTAGATAGCAACAGCTTTTTCCTTGATGGCGGTGTTGGATCGTCTGTGCTAGTTAGGGCGCTAGTTTGGCTGGACTCGAAGATGGCGCTTGGCTTGATGACTTTCGTTGCAGGTGAATCAATCTCTCCTGCCTTTAATTTTATTCTTCTATAATCCCTGTCTGTTAATTGTTTTGCGTTATTCCACATATCTTGAAAGCCAATATCATCGCCATATTGGAGGTTTATCATGGATTTCTCATCGTCTTCGTATCTTATTCTTATAGTGAATGGGTTGAGATAGCTTAACGTAGAACAGCGAGAAGTTATATCTTCTACTAGGTTGACAAACGTATATTGACCGCTGTAGACCGCTACTACATCTACAAAGAAAGTTATAAATTTGCTTTCAAGATACTCAACTTTCACTTGAAACGACCTTTTTGCGACAGTGAAGTTCAGGCAAAAATGGCGCGAATAAGAACACGATCAATACAACGTGGGCTCTCAGTCGGTTTAGCCAATCAAAACCACGGATTTTATTCCTAGCAACATGAGGTCCGGACCTTGACAACATTATGTTATGCCGTCATAACTTTTATGTTTCTTCGATAAAACCAATCGATTAAACTATAGCCGTTCCAAGCTCAATCTATAAGCGCAGTATAAAGGTGAGTTTTGATTCTTCAAGTCATGTTTTTACACTACTTTAAATCAAAAACCAGGCTCAGCTTTCGATGCCTCTATAAAGTGTTTGCTTTTGAAAGTTTTTCCAGGTTTTCTGACGGTTTAAGGTGTTTTACCCTGTATATAAAACAAGCGAAGTATCGAAGCGCATTCTGTTGAGATGTGAACAAGTGGTTTATCCTACCAAATTCTGTCCTTGTCTGTACGAATTGGCGACCTTAAGCTGCTACCTAGAATTGCATTCTCATGTGGAAGCCAAAATTCTCTTTAAAGAGAGCCAAAACCCCGTTCGCGGGTGCCAAACAAATTCCCTTCGGAAAGCTATAAAATCCCTTCGGGGGGAGCTATAAAATCCCCTCGGTGAGCTATAAAATCCCCTCGGGGAGCTATGAAATCCCTCCGGGGAGCTATATTGCCCCTTCGTGGGTGCCAATTGTTCCTTCGGGAACCCATAAAATCTGTACTCCCTCGGGAGCATCAAAACAAAGCAATATAATCGAAGCAACTAATGGTGGGATAAATTGTTTATGTCATGTTAACTCAGAATTATTAAAAGAAAACAACACATGCACTTCAATGAATACTTCAATGGAAGTTGAGCCTGGTTCAAGTAATTTTTAGGAGAGATAAACAATAACTACAATTTATCAAATTTTATTACAGGTTATTGATGAAATCTATACCATGAACACTGCTATGTTCGTCGAGATTTTATAAGAGATTTTATAATTTTATATGCTCTTCAGATAATTACGTTTGCAGTTTTGTGTTGATGACCATCAACACAACCATGTTTCTTAACTGATGTATTTTATAATAAATTTGCAGATAATTTGCAAATTTTATAGCATTATACCATGCAGTTTTATATTTTGATATGTATTTGCCGTTACAGTTTATTGATGAAATCACCATAAACAGTGCCATGTTCGTCAAGAGATTTTATACCAAATTTTGTAATTATTTTTATATGCTCTACAGTTATATAATTACATTTACAGTTTTGTGTTAAAAAAGTAAAATTGTTATAAAATTGCCTTCTTCAAAGATTTTGTCATGCCATGCATCTCATGCTCGCACAACATTTTAAACAAAGATGACAGAGGCCATATACAGTCATCAGTTGCTATTTTTTTAAGCCTTCTTTATACCAGCACTAGCCACATGCAGTCTTTGACTGCGTATTTTTATTGTATATTTTTGCTAACAAACAGTAATGTTTATGGTTTTAACCAGAGTTAAACTTCTATTTCAACACCAAATGTCCTCCTCGTGGTCTAAAAAAAGCAAGAAAAGTCACTTCGAAATGCCAGAAAAATGTTCTGGGTGATTTGAGAAAATGCGACTAGCCAATCAGCGCAAAGCTGACAAGCTTATGTTGTAAACATAACCCCCCGACAGGAGGAATTTGCACTGCAAAACTCGACCCAGTGGAGTAGGCTGCCAGTCATTTTATTCCATCCGAAAATTCGAAGCTAAAACGCAAAGAGAAATTGAAAATCTTTATAAAATATAGCTTTTAAATGTCAATCAAATATTCATCGTTATAGAAATAGAATTTTATCTTAAAAATGAAATAACAAATAATTTTTTCTTTAAGACCACGACACTCCCCTCCCTGATAAAAATAATTGTTCTGTTTTCTTCGCGGGTTCTCCATTGCATGCGAAGCAATGGCCGACTTCAAGAAGACTTCAGAAGGTCGTTGAAGCGACGTTCAAGTCCAAAGTATCTTTGGAGGAGACATTGCAAATCCTTCTTCTTAGCTCTTGTTTCCTCTAAGCTTTGAGGTATCTACAACATTACCTGGAAGAGCTAGAGCAGCTTATCTCCATAGCGTTTAATATTTTTGGTACAAATCAACTGTCGTAGTTCATCCTTTGTCGCATTTTCGGCAATAAGCCGCAAGCGTGCTCGACAGGTCAGTTACACATTTACTAGCTTTGAACTTACTATACAACGAGAGCTAGAACGGTGACTGGGGTTTTTAGTGTAACGTCTTGATAGCGACTGTTTATGTCGAAACGACTCAAAACAAAATTCCATCGTGAAAAAAGTTCCCTTCTGAAAAACACGTGTGTATTTAAGGTGGAGAATGTTTCATATGAGCATTCCGATACTTAAAGGTTTATTTCTATAATCATTTTGTTTAGTTATGTAAATAAATTCAGCACGACTTGTACTGTTTGTCTGAATGAAAGGCGAGCTGCGGGTTTTCCCTTTTCTTTATTTACACTTTCAAATATGACCGCTTAACAAAAATGCACGGGCTCACTGGCTTACAACCTTGGCGAATTCATATGCAGGCCTGGTCGCAAATCAATCACCCAG